CAGGGACGGGCTGCCACGGTCCCTGGCTGTGATGGTGATGTTGTAAGCTGAGACTTTTTCTCTGTCGAGGGGACTGGCTATCATTAGTTTATAGGTGTTCTTTGACGACGGTTCTAGTCTGAAAGGCAAATCGCCGTCGATATTGCAGCTCATTTCTCCGTTATCTCCCGCGTCTCTGTCACGGACATTAATCACAGCTACGACTGTATTTGGGACCGAGTCTTCGGGTATCGGGTTCAAGATAGGCAGGAGGGAAAGGGTTGGCGCATTGTCGTTCACGTCTAGAATGTCTATGTGCACTTTGGCGTGCGCACTCAGTCCACCTCCGTCCTTGCCTTCAACACTAGCTTCGTAGTATTTCCCTTCTTCATAATCTAAGGGGCCGGTTATTTTCACGTCTCCTGTCCTGGAGTCCAGAGCGAAGAGCCGGCGAGCACTGTTTGCGATGTCACTGAAAGAATAGGTGATTTCTGCATTTGTACCTTCGTCGCCGTCAGTAGCTTTCACCTGAAAAGCTAAGGAGCCCTCCGGCAGGTTTTCCAGCAGTCGAACCTTGTAGATCTCTTTGGTGAATATCGGTGGGTTGTCGTTTGCGTCGGTCACGTTAATCTTAATCTGGGCTGTCCCGGATCGGATTGGATCCCCGCCATCCACCGCCGTCAGTATCAGATGGTGATTTCTCTGCTTTTCTCGATCTAAGCTTTTCTCCAGCACTAATTCTGGCTGCTTCGTCCCGTCAGGACTCTCCCTCACTACAAGGGAGAAAAACGGGTTGGGTGTAAGTTGGTAGTTTTGTAATGAGTTCAGCCCAATGTCGGGGTCCCTGCCACTGCCCAGTGGGAACCTGGTCCCAGGAGGAGCGGACTCGATTATTTCAATGGCAACAAATTCTCTGTCAAACCGCGGCGCGTTGTCATTGATATCCTGGATAGTAACGCTGACGTGAAATATATTGAAAGGATTTTCCACAACTGCTTCCAAACTGAGGACACAGGGCGACACGGCCTCGCAGATGCTCTCTCGGTCCAGCCTCTCGTTCACTCGCAGATTACCTTCCCCGAGAGTGAAATATTGCTTTTCGTCACCGGAGACTATCCGCAGCTTGCGTGCCG